CTCGAAGTTACATACCCCTCGTAACTTTTTCCCCTTTACCTTTTTTTACATAGTTCGTTCAACGACCGAACGGTCGAATACCGTGTTCTATTGTTTTTATTCACTTTAAATAAAATTATCTCTTTTGTATGGGAGACACTGATTGGAGGATCACTGATAAAAGCGAAAATAAAAAAGGTGGAAAACTTGAATGCGATACTTCTTCTCGTCTGAAGTTTAGGAACCCCCTATTATTACCGTGTTTACTTGCCTGGTGACTGATAGCTCAAGGAGATCAAGTCAGTATTGAGTCGGTCCAATTGTGTTATCCTCCAACCTCTAGTTTATCGGAAAGAGCTTTGTTATTTTAAACTCAATCCCATCTTCAGGGATGTTTTTTGTTTTTTCCCTTTTTTCTTCTTCTTCTTCTTCTTCGTCTTTTTCTTCTTCTGCCAACAAAAGATTTTATTTGTCGTTTCACGTAAAGGAATCGTAAAAATTTTCTTGAAAACAAATATCCTTTCTATCTCTGTATCTCTAAATTCTTTCATTACCCCCCAACCCCCCTCCCGCCATCCCCCTTTAAATATTTCTTCTGTATTAAACATTTGAAAAAAAAACAAACAAAAAAACAAAAAAAAAGAAAAAAAAGAGAAAAGAAAGAAAAAAATTTTTAAATAATTTTCTTCTTTCTTTCAATCTTGAAATGTGTACGTATACATGCTCATTCGTATTTATCGCATTGATTTAATGCCGGTTTAGTCGTTTACGTTATGGAATACACTTTGGCCCGCCATTTCTCACGCGGGATTTCACGAGGGTAGTAGATAACCCTCGAGAATCGACGTAGACACTTCGTTCGCGTTAATACTACCAACCAAAGATATTGAAAAATTGATTCCCATCGACAGACGTCATCGACGATGACATCATGATTATCACCGTCTTAAGCGTCTTATTTTCTTTCTTTCATTCCTTCCGTTTCTTTATATTCTTCGAAATGTTTGTAAAGGCATTCTACTTGGATAAATAATAGACAGAATTTCAATTTTAATCGTTATGAAAGTTTGATTAATATAATGTTATCTTTTTCAACAAACGATCATGGTATATGTGTGTGTATGTGTGTGTATGTGTGTGTGTATATATATATATATATATACATACGTAGGTAGATTCAGAAGTATGCATACTTATG